GACGGCCATTGACACCTTGCACAAGGAGGGCAAGACACAAAAGGTCATTGCTAAAGAGGCTGGCTGTTCACAGAGCTCTGTGTCCAAGCACATTAATAGAGAGGCGAAGCGAAGGAAAAGATGTGGTAGAAAAAAGTGTACAAGCAATAGGGATAACCGCACCCTGGAGAGGATTGTGAAACAAAACCCATTCAAAAATGTGGGGGAGATTCACAAAGAGTGGACTGCAGCTGGAGTCAGTGCTTCAAGAACCACCACGCACAGACGTATGCAAGACATGGGTTTCAGCTGTCGCATTCCTTGTGTCAAGCCACTCTTGAACAAGACACAGCGTCAGAAGGGTCTCGCCTGGGCTAAAGACAAAAAGGACTGGACTTCTGCTGAGTGGTCCAAAGTTATGTTCTCTGATGAAAGTAAATTTTGCATTTCCTTTGGAAATCAAGGTCCCAGAGTCTGGAGGAAGAGAGGAGAGGCACAGAATCCACGTTGCTTGAAGTCCAGTGTAAAGTTTCCACAGTCAGTGATGGTTTGGGGTGCCATGTCATCTGCTGGTGTTGGTCCACTGTGTTTTCTGAGGTCCAAGGTCAACGCAGCCGTCTACCAGGAAGTTTTAGAGCACTTCATGCTTCCTGCTGCTGACCAACTTTATGGAGATGCAGATTTCATTTTCCAACAGGACTTGGCACCTGCACACAGTGCCAAAGCTACCAGGACCTGGTTTAGGGACCATGGTATCCCTGTCCTTAATTGTCCAGCAAACTCGCCTGACCTTAACCCTGTAGAAAATCTATGTGGTATTGTGAAGATACGCCAGACCCAACAATGCAGAAGAGCTGAAGGCCACTATCAGAGCAACCTGGGCTCTCATAACACCTGAGCAGTGACACAGATTGATGGACTCCATGCCACGCCACATTGCTGCAGTAATTCAGGCAAAAGGAGACCCAACTAAGTATTGAGTACTGTACATGCTCATACTTTTCATGTTCATACTTTTCAATTGGCCAACATTTCTAAAAATCCTTTTTTTGTATTGGTCTTAAGTAATATTCTAATTTTCGGAGATACTGAATTTGGGATTTTCATTAGTTGTCAGTTTTAATCATCACAATTAAATGAAATAAACATTTGAAATATATCAGTCTGTGTGTAATGAATGAATATAATATCCAAGTTTCACTTTTTGAATGAAATTACAACTTTTTGATGATATTCTAATTATATGACCAGCAACTGTATATTATAAAAACTTGTCAGCTGACATACAACAGTGAGGACCTACACACAACCACTCACACCCTTGCAGACTGAAGAGGTTTCATTTTCATTCACTATTGGTGTGAAAGGGGTAACTGGCATTGTATGCCAAGGCTCTGCAACTCATCTGTCAACCATTCACAGATGTGAGTCAAATGCCTGCTAACACTATATCCTAGTCAATGAATTATGTTTTTTTACAGCATATTTTGCTTTTTTCAAAACTTTATTATATTTAAGTAAACCATTTACATTGTTTATAAAAATAACCTATTATGGCCTGGTTTAAGAATGAGTGTAAAGCTTGACATGCATCATTTGATCCGTGTTGCTAATCTAACCTCAATTCATGTATGGGTGACCTCCTTGGTTGTGTTTTTAAAGGAATCGTGTTAAAGGAAAAACCCTTCATGCAAAGGGTTGTGTGTTCGGTCCCCACGTACGCAAATACATATTGTTTCCCTCTTTAAATGAACTATGAAGAGACTGTTTCACATACTCACAATAAAGCGTGTCCTGGAGAGCGTACATCCCAGCGATTAATCCACATCCATTAACGCTTATTTTCATTCCCCCAGCATCTCCAGGCAGAGGAAATTTCTGTGCTTCTCATTCAGGGGAATCACGTTTATTGAGGCTTTTTTAAAGAGGTGTGTCAAGCAAGCCACATACTTTATTGAGTGCATCTTTCTGAATTTTTCGAAATAAAAGCTCTCAATTCAACAAAAAAACAAGCATTGCTGCAAAAAAAAAAAAACGGTTTTTATGTCGTTGGCACAATCACTTAAGAGGAAGTGATTATGTGAGTAACTATTGCTGTCATGACTGAGATCTATTTCCGCACCAGCCACTTTCAAAGTATTTAGCCTATTTATTTATTTATCTGGCTCGTGGGCCACCTCTTGCCGACCACTACTATAGGTGAAACCGTTGCCGCCTATCCAAAGTAAATCTATAAAGCAACAGTAAATTACCTTCACACAGTAACTCTAACAACTATCTTATTTTCTGAAAATAATTAACACTGATAATATAAACTCGGGGGGGTCTGGGGGTCCTTCCTCTGAAAATCTTGGGCTTTAAACACTTAATTTCCTGCATTCTGGTGAGTTGTTTTGCACCACGTTATTGAAGAAATGTCTGAGGTTACAATCCAAAATTTTAAAAACATAGTGTAATATAATGCAGTAAGGATGTCAGATATGTTTCTCCTGTAGATCAACTTTTCTCATTTAATTTAATCCCAGCTGAGTCTAAATACATGCAGGTATGTCTGAAGTAGCCTAAAGTCTTTTCAAATGTGCATATGGCACCTTTTCACCTCAATGATAAATTAGCTTAATTAATTAGAATTCGGGGAGAAGATTTTGAGCATTAAATACTTAATTTCCTGAATTCTGGAGACATTTTCTGCACTGATTTATGGTGGAAGTGTCTTTATTTTTAAAAAGGGAAGGACAATTGAGGTGGCAGGTGACAATTCAGAATATAAAATAGAATGTAATGCAGTTATCAGTAATTTATTCCTTTTTTTTTTAGCTTAAGTTACTTTTTTTCTTATGTAGAGATTTTGTCAATATTTACACTGCAATGCACGTTTATTGCGCAAATAAACCTTTCTCATCGCATTTTTATTTGTTAATTAACATTTCTTGGTGCAAGCTATTTTTCAGAACATTTTTAATGCTTTCAAAAAGTGGTGGCTACATGTCCCCAGTGTAAATGACACTCCCTCCCTACAGGTTGAGCGCACTGCTATTCAACAGAGGAAGAAAACCGAAACTGAAAAACCGCGGTGAAATTAGTTTTAAGTTGGATATTCGACAGACATTCACCCAGGATCCAGTGACGGCTTTTTAGTCAGTTCACCCAGTGACGGTTGTATAAGTGCGGTTAGCTCACCTCTGATGGCTCGCTTTTAACCAACGGGGGTTAGCTTAGGGACCATCAATAAATTACAATTGTGAGAACAGTGTTATGGGAAAATCATTATTTATTTCAATAGCTTCCCAGTCATGTGACACAGGGACTTCAAACCAATGCCGAATTGTAGTACTGCACTAGGCAAATGAGACACACCCCTTCATATTTGATTTGAGAGCATATTCGACTTTATATTAATATTTATTCATAATTTATGGAAAAAAGTGCTGTTTTTTTTCAATAGCTTCCAAGTCATGTGACACAGGGACTTCAAACCAATGCCGAATTGTAGTACTAGACTAGGCAAATGAGACACACCCCTTCATATTTGATTTGAGTGCATTTTTTATTTTATATGAATATTTTTATATTTTTTTCTTCAATTGATTCCATTTCAAATGATTCAGGGACTCAAAACCAATGCCGAATAGTACTACTACCTGTTACACATATTACACACATATTACACACATTAGTAGTACTATTCGGCATTGGTTTGAAGTCCCTGTGTCACATGACTTGGAAGCTATTGAAAAAAAAGGCATTATTTTACATAAATTATGAATAAATATTCATATAAAATAAAAAATTCACTCAAATCAAATATGAAGGGGTGTGTCTCATTTGCCCAGTGTAGTACTACAATTCGGCATTGGTTTGAAGTCCCTGTGTCACATGACTTGGAAGCTATTGAAATAAATAATGATTTTCCCATAACACTGTTCTCACAATTGTAATTTATTGATGGTCCCTAAGCTAACCCCCGTTGGTTAAAGCGAGCCATCAGAGGTGAGCTAACCGCACTTATACAACCGTCACTGGGTGAACTGACTAAAAAGCCGTCACTGGATCCTGGGTGAATGTCTGTCGAATATCCAACTTAAAACTAACTCCTACATACTGTAAATATCACCACAATTCCACACAAATGTTCACTTCAGCATCTCTGACAGCTGCTTCAGAGGGAATAAAGCATCCTGGAGACAGTAAAAGGGGACAGAGCGACAGGTGTCAGTGTCACGGTCAGGTGTGTCACGATATTCTCTCACTACTTTGCGGTGACTGTCAACCGATTGTGTTAATACATTGACGAGACAACTAGACTGACCGACAACATTTATATTTAAATGTATGGTTTACAGTTTTGCTAGATTAGTCGCGGATAAGCGCTGAAGCTGTGAGCAATTCTCTCTCTCTCTCTCTCTCTCTATGCAGGGAGGCTGAGTAAAAGTGTGGGGGGGGTCACGTTACGTGAACTTTAAACAAAATGTAGCGATATTATTGCGAGTAGCCTCTTTGAAGAGCTGAGAGAAAGGCTGCATCATGAAGATTATTGCATATTAACATGGAAAATATTTTTGTTGCTGTTGTTGAGTTACATTCGGGCCTACAGTCAAAACATCCGAGGCTAAAGCCCCGGGAAAATGACCTGGCGACGCCGATGAGTGTTAAATAATCTGTTACAAGTAGGCCATCTGTCTTACTGTGGAGGCACTGATACTGGTGGAACTCTGACTACTTCTGAACAAATAATAAAAATAATGATACTAATAAATGTGATTTTAAGCATATTTTACTAACTTAAAGACAAGAGCAAACTGCTAAAATAATGCATTAATGGGAATCCTAATAGACTTGTGTGAGAGGTAGGCTACTTCTGCAAGCAATCCATTATGAACCTGACCGTCACCTTGTCAAAACGTTTTTAGGAAAATTAAAGGAAGAGTAAAGTAAGACTTTAAGTTTACGCATCACTTAAAACCATTTCAACACTAGCTTTTAAAACGTTATCATGTAGGAAACGCTCTTTAGTGAAGCTGTGGTGGCTCTTAAAAGAACCTTTGGCGCACTGAGTGCTGGATTAGGAGCCGCTTCACTTCTTGGACTTCTTGGCTGCGGGTTTCTTTGCCGGGGCTTTCTTGGCAGCGGGCTTCTTCGCCGGTTTGGCCTTTTTAACGGGAGTCTTCTTCTTGGGACTCTTCGCTACGGGCTTTTTAACAGCTTTCTTCGCCGGCGCCTTCTTCTTCGGGGACTTCTTGGCTGCTACTTTCTTTGCTGCTGGCTTCTTGGCTGCAGGTTTCTTGGCGGCTGTAACTTTCTTGGCTGCGGGCTTCTTGGCTTTAACGGGAGCTTTCTTCTTCACCACCTTCTTCGCAGGTTTGTCGGCTTTGGGCTCCTTGGCGAGCTTGAAGGAGCCGGAGGCCCCGGTCCCTTTAGTCTGTCCCAGGGTTCCTCCGGTCACCAGCTTAGTCACGGCGGTGTTGATGCGCTTGTTTGCTTTCGGCACATCCACGCCTTTGGCGGCCAGAACCTTTTTAATGGCCGCCAGAGAAACCCCCTTGCGCTCCTTGGACTCGGCCACGGCGCTGATGATGAGCTTCGGGAGGGTGGGGCCGTCCTTCTTGGGACGGGGAGCCGCCTTCTTCTTCTGGGCTTTGGCCGGAGCCGCTGCTGGAGCTTCTTCTGCCATGTCTGCTGCTGAGTTCTGCTGTGTTCGTCTGAAGGTGTCCGAGCGGAGAGGAGGCGGGGCTTATAGAGCACATGAGAACCGTGGAGAGGCAACACACAGCCGCTTCGCCGCCCGGCTCAAATGTGGCGACACTTGTGTTTTCTCTTCCAAATTTTGGCAACAAAATTCACATAAGACAAACGTTTTAGACCGGAATTGTTATTGTACTACTGAGAAAACGATCTTCCCTTCAGGCTGAGGTCATGTTTGGCGACAAGGACTCATTTATTTAATTCCCAGAGGCGTCAAACATCTCTAACACACCGTCACTTTGTACAACTCGCGGCGAGTTTTCTTCACATTTCGTGTCTAAAACTGTCTAAAAGTGATTTGTACTAAACGGACCGTGGTGTTCCAGTAAGCAGAGACGTGTGAGGATAGAATAACACTCAGATCGCTGCAGTATTGTGATTCATTTAGTTTTAATGACAGAGGTTTTCGGTGGAGGTAAACACACGGTTGCTGTCGGATCAGGCGGTTATACGGACTCCTGTCTCAGATGGATCCACTGGAAAAGAGTTTCCGTTTCCACCAAATGTTAGATTTAACATGAAGGAACTGACCGCAGAAAGGCATTTTTCTTTCTTCTGCTGTAGAGAGACCTGGCTTATTGAAATCACTTTAATCAGCTTCAGGTTGTGTTTAGAGCTGGTTTCTGTCTCAAACAAATTAACAGAACAGATGAACATGAAACTATTTTCTTGGTAATTGTTGTCAGCTGAATTCAGGCCCTTTAGCTACCACTGAGGATAGAGAGGTTTTATCATCTGTTTTGTAGCATTTTTAAATTTGGGAATTTAGGGACCTGATGTGCATGTTACATTACAATATATAGGCCTAGTAGGCTAATTGTAACAATACACATATTTTGTTTCTCTAAACGTTTTTTATATGTAATTTAACATGGACAAATATTAAAGTGAATGTGTGATTTTACTGACTTTCCTTTCTTTAAAATATATTTATTATGGGGTTGCCCCTATTAATGATCAAACTCACACACGGGTTCAAAATTCACCATCAGATTTTTATATGTAACCTAATCCAAATCTGTTCCAACTGGTTTTATATTCTGTAGGCCTACAGCATAACAACATCATAAAAACAAATACAATTACACCATGAACCATTGGTACTAACCAATATTTTGTAACCCTGTTATTGTAGATAACAATAATTAATGTTTATGTTTTCTGCTACACAGAGAGAAAATATCTCTCTGTAATCGGATTTAGTTTGTGTGTCTTTCTCTGAAGGTTTCCTCTTTGCTGTTGCTCAAAATGAAGTAAAGCCTCTTATGTTTTGTCCCAGACATCCAATACTTATTATAAAGGGTATGAATAGGTATAGGAATAGTATAGGGATTATACAGAAAGATAATATGGATTACAACAGGATAGCAGTGGGAGAGTATCAGGACTGTGTCACATATATAACATACAAAGTTCATATGTACACAGAACTTCATCAGATAAAGTTGTAATTTTCCTTCAGGCGGCCTGTGGACAGGAAACACAGCCACCTTGAGGTCTAAAAAACACTGCAGCTGTAATTTAAGAATGCTGTAGATGAACATACACAGCATACTGAATGGACAAAGCCACACCGCAGGTTTGAATGAAGAGCAGTGAAGCCAATTTTGGTATGGTGTATACTACATGGCTACTTCCTATTGGCACCAGGGTCTACTGCGCAGCATCAGACGCAGTTTAACAACGTAGAGCAACAGCAGAAACAGCGTAATTCTGGTAGCCGCATGTCTGGGACAGGACGGCCCCAGCCACCGTATCGTAGGCATCCACTACAACAAACTGCGGGGAGGGATCTGGGTGGACTAGCACAGAGTCAGGGTTATGGTCCTCCTGAGCCCCAGGGTCCATGACCTTGAAGGCAGCAAAACACCAAAAAGAATTTTCATTAGTGATGAGCATAGCCTGTGACAGATGCTGCTGGCTGGTGCAGGGTATCTAAAGGGACAGAGGCTGCAAGTGGCCTGGCAGGAGGCGCTGGACCTGGCAGAGCTGTAAAACACAACAAAACACTGCAGGCCATGCACAAAACAGAGCTCTATATTAGTGACTCGTTAAAACTGTGTGATATAATTCCATCCCTTTGTAGAGGACAGTGTGTTTCTGTGCTTGCACAGGGAAATATTCTGTGATGATTAACCTATAGGTGGGTGGACTTACTATGGACTGAATGTTGATGCAGTGTCGATGCAATGTTCATCGTCTGGGTGGCATCAGGACCAGATTTGCCTTCCATCTGCTCCAGGATGACAGGCTACATATTATTTACCAACACGTGAAAACAGTGTAGTTTAAATGTAATTTTGTGTACAATATTTTGGAATGTTTGATGGAACTATTGAGTTACTAATAAGTATACTGCTAATGGAGTTAAAATATATTATTTTGCCTTCTCTCTGTAATAGCAATTATTAACATGATACAAACATCATTTCTCACTCTGCATAGCCTATTGTTATTGCTCATAAAAAGCTTTAAATCAACAATTATATAGCATTAAATGCACAAACATTTAGGGTCCGTGCACAGCAGGGGTCAGTTAAGCTATACAACAATTAACTTTCTATAACAACATTTATGGCAGCAACGAATATGGGAAAGTCGCCTAAATAAAACATGTTCCCTAGATGTTGGCCTTTTTTACATATTTAAAAAAAAAGAAAGAAATAAAGAGTGTACAGCTACACAAAGGAAACAATAAAGACACCATTATCCAGAATGTCAGCTGACTGATACGGAGTGCCAACAAAGGAAGGAAGGTAATATGTAACCGAATCGTTATGATCAGTGCTTAAAGTGGGACATTAAAAAGGTTGACAGCCTTAGTGGTCATTTACATGGGGAAGCTGGTGACATGTCAGAATCAGAATATCCCCACCACATTTTGGAAGTATTTATTCTCAAAAACAGCTTGCAACAAGAAATGTTAAATAACAACTGAAAATGCTTTGATAAAGGTTTATTTGCACAACAAGAAAACATGCAATGCAATTGAAATACAGAAGAAATAAATGTGCAATGTCCAAAAGAAGTAACTTAAGCTTAAAAAAACAAGCTGCATTATACTCCATTATATATTTATATTTTGCATTGTCACCTGCCATTTTGTGTTTCCCTTCATATAAATAAAGACATTCCCACCAAGTGGTTCAGAAAATGTCTCCAGATTGCACATACTACTCAGCTGGTTTGGGGGAGTATTAGAGTAGGTACACATGTTATATGGAAGGATGGTGTATTGGTGAGGGGTGTCAGACCGGCAAGGACGCTTTACACATAACTATAGAAACAGAACAATAAAAAGTCATACAGGATTGAATGCTTTTGTAGAGGTGGGTTTTTAGAATGCTTTTGAATGTGTCCAGAGAGGGAGCATTTCTGATCTCTGTGGGGATGGAGTTCCAAAGGATGGTGCTGCGATGCTGAAGGCTATGTCCCCAAAAGTCCAGAGTCTAGTGTGGGGAACAGAGAGCAAGCCCTTGTCTGAGGTTTTTACACAGAGCCGAAGCAGAACAGCTGATTACAGCAGGTAATTAAGCTCGTTAAACATCCTGTTCCTCCGACGCTCAGGCGACACAGACGAGAGTCCTGCAGCTGATCTGCAGCACTTGTCCTGGAAATGTTTTAATAACCGGAATGAGACACTGAAAGAGAACCACAGATAGGGGAGTGAGTAGGGAGGTTTTGTGTCTTTCTGCCAGGGAAGTGGATAGCAGCAGGTCTGTCAGAGGAGTGGCAGAGTCATTTGATATCTGCTATGTGACTACATCCTTTTGTCACAATAAAGAGAAAGCAACAGGAGGCTTGTAGCCACCAGTTACCCACTGTGGGTTATACTCGCCACAGACAAGTGTTCTGCTCAGACCAGGAAAAGGAGCTCCGGCCTGGCATGTTCTGTGGGCTGAGCCCCAAAGAGGAAGTCTAGTTAAAATAGGATAATCTCTAGATTATAATCCCTTATAAAAACTCCCTTACTATATATATATAAAGTATGAAGTTTATCCATCCGAATATATTGAATGAAAGTCTGAATGTTTGGAATGAAATCTGACGTCATTACCACATTGGCCCCATCTAGTGTTTTCAGTGAGAAGTGTGACACTGAGTGAATCAGCAAGAAAGTGTCCAGTGTCAGCAGTTTTGAGCAATGTAGAGATTATAAACAAACTGGCAAATGCATGTATGAGCCAAAATACTGGAAACCATGTCCAGTACAGTTCTCCCAATTAAGAAATGTATTCTCTTTCATCATTGAAGACCAAATGCAGGAAACCTCCCAGGCCAGGCAGTTGAAAAATTAAACAAATCAGCCCTCTGAGGATTTTGCCTCTCCCGTCGCTGGGGAGAAATGGGTTTTCTGTGATGGCTGGGCACATGAATTGTGCAGTGAGGGATGCGAGTACAGTGTTTGTCATGAGTGTGACAATCAGTTAAGCTGAGTAGATGGCTGAATGAATCAGCAAGTGAAATGGATGGTCAAATCAGTTTACACTTTGCAGAGTAATGTTTTTAATATATCTTTTAAGTGTATGAACAAATTTACAAAGTGTAGCCTAATGTGTTGAACAGATCCGTTTACACATTAAAGTTTATACAGAGCAGAACATTGTGTAATGTTTTAGCCCATATGGAAAATAAAGCTGTCAGTGTTCCACACATGGTCTCCTGTCCATATTTAAATATATTTTGATGTGTGGATAAAAACCATCTACTGATTAATGGCGCCATCTAGTGAATAAAAGTTGAAATCGATGTGTAACCAGAAATATTGTTGGTGTAGGACCTGGGCCTTTGGATTTTGACACTAGTGTGTTACATTTGTTCATGTAAATGAATAGTGTATAGCTGTAACTTTTAAAATGTGACTGACATAATACTCTAGAGATATCAAGGAGAAGTTCAATTTGTAGCCTTCCCTCTTTATTTGGTTAACTTTTGTAATGTTGATTTGAGTCTATTACGGTAAAAAAAAGGTGCCTTCATTATTTCCTTTGTGTCGCCACCGCATCCTTCCCCCCCCTAATATCAAAAATAGATCTACATCTAGGCATGACATGTGGACTGAGAAATGACATTTGCA